TAAGCAGAGTAACAATATACAGCCTTGACGTACTCCTTTCCCAGTTTAGAACCAGGCTATTGTTCACAATTTGGAACCAGTCTGTCGTTCTATGTCCAGTTCTAACTGTTGCTTCTTCACCTGCATACCTTGGTTTAGGTAAAATGAAAGTCAAACAACAGACAAAAGTATAAAGGGGCTTGCATAAAGAATATTAANAATAACCTCAGATATGCAGATGACACCACCCTTATGGCAGAAAGTGAAGAAGAACTAAAGAGCCTCTTGATGAAAGTGAATGAGGAGAGTGAAAAAGTTGGCTTATAGCTCAACATTCAGAAAGCTAAGATCATGGCATCCAGTTCTATCACTTCATGGCAAATAGATGGGGAAACAGTGGAAACAGTGGCAGAGTTTATTTTCTTGGACTCCCAAATCACTGCAGATGGTGACTGCAGCCATGAAATTAAAAGATGCTTACTCCTTGAAAGGAAAGTTATGGCCAACATAGACAGCATATTAAAAAGCAGAGACATTACTCTGCCAACAAATGTCTGTCTAGTCAAGGCTATGGTTTATCCAGTACTCATGTATGGATGTGACAGTTCGACTATAAAGAAAGCTGAGCGCTGAAGAATTGATGCTTTTGAACTGTGGTGTTGAAGACTCTTGAGAGTCCCTTGGACTGCAAGGAGATCAAACCAGTCCATCCTAAAGGAAATCAGTCCTGAATATTCATTCATTGGAAGGATTGGTGTTGAAGCTGAAACTCCAATACTTTGGCCACTTGATGTGAAGAACTGACTCATTTGAAAAGACCCTGATGGTGGGAAAGATAGAAGGCAGGAGGAGAAGGGGACGACAGAGGATGAGATGGTTGGATGGCATCACCGACTCAATGGACATGAGTTTGAGTAAACTTCTGGAGTTGGTGATGGACAGGGAGGCCTGACATGCTGCAGTCCATGGGGTCGCAAAGAGTCGGACACGACTGAGTGACTGAACTGAACTGAACTTGCATGAAATGTTCCCTGCTGCTGCTGTTGCTGCTAAGTCGCTTCAGTTGTGTCCAACTCTGTGCAACCCCATAGACAGCAGCCCACCAGGCTCCCCCATCCCTGGGATTCTCCAGACAAGAGTACTGGAGTGGGGTGCCATTGCCTTCTCCGGAAATGTTCCCTAGTTATCTCTAATTTTCTTGAAGAGTTCTGTAGTCTTTCCCATTCTATTGTTTTCCTCTTATTTCTTTGCATTGATCACTGAGGAAGGCTTTCTTATATCTCCTTGCTAATTTGTGTCTAAGGATTTAATGAAAGCCTCTCATACTCTCAGGATTGAGCATATGAAAGCCTTTAGATCCTAGCACCTTGCACAGTGACTGGCACCATAGTAGGTATTCATGAAGCCTGTGGTGAGAACTAAATCTCCTTGTCATTTTCTCCTGCACTCTGGGAAAGCATCTCAAAGATGCCTTTCACATCAGCAGGTGAATTTTCTACAACATCCTTTCTATTCTTTACTGACTTCATATGGATTTTAATCCTCTTGTTGCCTTTTCTTACAGTCTTTGAGTCAATGACCTTTTCAACTTTTGCTCATTTACCTGTGACCTTTTGTTTCTCACACACAGAGGTTATGATTATTTGCAATCTTTTGAAAATGCCAAGCAGTGTTACTTTGTTCTTCTGGATCTGAAAGCAAATAATTTTTCACAAATATTTCCTTTCTCTGAGTCTCCCAACTACTTCTTTTATCCCATAGTCTTTGTTTGTAAACCCCAACTTTTTTTTTCCTCTTAATTCATACACAAACAAGCGAAGACCTTTCCAGTCTCAGTGTCAACAGAACGTGTGGGTTGCCTTTACTCTTAACTTCTATCCCTTGGGTAATGGTTCCATTCCTTTGATGCATTTGCAGTTGGAAAGTGGGTAAGGTGATGAGCATAGCTTCCAGTCCACATTTCAGCTTCTAACAGACTTTCCCCTCATTGTGCCTCTTTCAACTCTGGTGCTTATTGCCCTCCTCTCACCTCATTCTCTGGTACTGGAAGCCAGTGGCAGTAAGTGCAACTGTCCTTCCTATGTCTGTGGTCACCTACACTAATGGGGGAGGATATGCTTTGTACCACAGCCACTCGGCTCTTACTTCCTACCTAGTTGATCGTTGGGCTGTCTCAATGTGAAAATACAAAAAGATAGTGGGTAGACTGAGGAGTGGAGATGGGGGCCAAAGGGGTCAGAGGGTGCTGGTGGGGGTGAGGGGTTTCAAGGCAAGAGGCAAAACTCAGCAACAAAACTGCTTCCCTTACAGTGTAGCTCCTTGGAATCGAGAGAATTGAAGGGCCAATTCCCTAGCTAGTAAAGGCACAAATCTCTGAGTCAGGACGCAGTTGGTGGAGCAAGAACAATATACCTTAAAAAAATCTTTCTTTGATTTGCTATCATGAAGAGAAGCCTGAGTATTCCATAATGTGAAGTATAGATCTATTTTTCTCAGTCTAACTCCATTTGCCTTAAAGTTTTCAAGGCTGTTCACAATTTTGTATTATGTTGTCTGTCAATCTTTCATTATTTTAATGGGTTTTTATTCATTTCTGTAAGGTCATGGGATATTAGTGAAAAGTCGTGAGGCGTTTCACTGGAGGGCTGTAATATCCAATTTTTCTCTTATCCTCTTTCAACAAAGAACTCTGCAGATCCACAGAATATTCATGAATATGATTTTTTTTTTGCTTAACATCTGCTCTCATAGCTCTGTCAGTGAGGAATTCATCATTCCCAAAGCATTCCATATGCTTTTCCACTCTGCATTTACCCATGCAATTTCCCCTGGCACAAATCCTCTTCATTTTTTGGCCTCTAGCAGTTCAGGAACAGGATGTTTCTACCCTCCTCTTGTTTTGAGCCTGAGGACACTGTGACTCCATGTTTGTGAGTACAAACATTCTAATCAAAATCATGCCAACATTGATGAAATTTAATAAAGAACGTATTTTCCTGAGCAAACTCAAAATCAATTTAATTTCTTGATATCCTTTTTCTGTATAATGCAGGTAAAATATTTCTAAGATATATTTTAAATTTTTTACTTGCTTTCATTTTACTGAAATTATTTTCATCTGGAAAATTCTTGTTCATAAAAATGTTACCATGGAGACGTGTTTTAAAATTTGTCCCAATAAAAAAGTCTTAGCTTTAACCTCTTACAAGGTGAGTTTACTTTTATGGCAATAATGTCAACCAATTTCTTGAGATGCAAATTCTGTGGCCCTAAATTTTGTCAATAGGTGGATTCTTCTAATAGTTTTGAGTCAATAACAAATGTAGCAGATAGTAGTTGTGGCCCTCCCCATACTCCCTTGGCGCTTACCCTTCCCAATACATACATGCAACTCCCCACCTGAGGGCTTTCTCTCAGCCAGACACCCCAGGCCAGAAGTGCTGGGGAGCTAATGGGCCTGCAAGTAACCCTAAGCCAGTGACAGATGGCAATCAGTACCCCAGCTTCCTAGTCCTCTGGTGGGGATGACTCAGGTATGTTCTACGCAGTTTTTCCCAGTACCCTGGGGAGGGCGGTGGAATTGAACCCAGTCACCCCCAGTGAAAAACTGCTTGATGATACACCCTTTACTGGTTCATCCCTATCGTTGTCTTTTTTTTTTTTTTCTCTCAAGCTTAGTTGCTCTGCAGCAAGTGGGATCTTACTGGATCAGGGATTAAACTCGTGTCTCCTGCATTGGCAGGCAGATTCTTTACCACTGAGCCAACCAGGAAAGAACCCCCATCACTGTCTTATTTCCCACCTCCCTAATGATGCCTTCTGGAATGACCTCTTAGATAACTTGTATTCACATTCTAGTCTCAGATGGAGTCAGCTACCAGGGAGCCCAACCTACGATTACAAATGTAATTATATAAAGTTTTTGCCATTCTCAGTTTTATTGTGTTGATTATTTCTACAGAGCCTAAATTTTCTATGGTAGCTATTTTTTAAATCCTCAGAGATAAATAATTTTAATGAGCTAAATGAGCCCTTAGATAAAAATGAGTCATTTTTTTCATCTCAACAAATTTTACTAGGTGCTGTTCTATGTTGATTATTTCTACCAGTACTAGAATCCACTTGAATAGAAAACTGGGTGCATGATGGATCGGATCTGTGTGCATGCCTGGATCAGAACCTCCCGCCTCATGTGACCTCCTCAGATTTTTTGCATAATCTTTCTTTAAAATTCTTTTTCATATTCTCCACCTAGAGAAATCCAAGTTAATCTTCATGACCAACTAGAAATGCCAATTTCTCCATAAACCTGATTCTCATCTATAGTAACTAACTTCCTGAGTTCCCACAGCATCCTGTTTTTCCCTCTACTTGGCACCTTTTCTTGCCTTAAGTGACATTTGGGTGTCTATGTTTCCTCATTAGATTGAGAGCAAAGGAGATCTTTTCTTTCACGCCTACTAGCACCCACATAGCAGGTATTCAGTACAAGTGTGAATATATGTTTCCATTAGAGAAGATGGCGCCCTACAAAGAAAATTCTCATACCCCAGATCTAAAGGGTACATTAACACTTGAATAAGGTTTCTTTTGAATCTGTAATGTATACCATGCTTTTCTCAGTATTTTTATCAGCTTCTCCTATCTCTCAAATATATTTGATTCTTAATCATTTTGTTCCATCAGTATACTCTCCATCCCTTGTTTTCTCTAAATTGTTTTATTTGTTTTCCACATTTAATGAAATTTGATTATATCATTTTTAATAATCGCCAGTAATTAAAGATACCTAGTCATTTGAAATACTATACTCAAGTGTAACAAAGCATTGTTGATGAAGAATCCTTCAAAATCCATAATAAAACACCAAAATACCAGTGAAAAATGCATAAAAGACATGAACAGGAATTCATAGAACATTATGGCAAATAGACATGGGAAATATCACTCAACATTCACTGTAATAAAAAAAACATTCACTGTAATCAAAGAAATAGTAATTAAAATACAATGTTCACCTATTAAATTGCTAATTTATTTATTTCTAAGTACAAGATGTGGTAATAGAGAAATTCATATTCACTGCTGATGTGAGTTTAATATTGTACAACTTTCCTGGAGCTTAGCCTGGCAATATTTTTCAAGGATCTTAGTTCATTTTTTAATTCCATCTTACAAAACTACATAAATGAAACAATCAAAAGCGTGGAATGTATCAAATGAAAGAAATTTTTAAAATGTAGTATAGTGTCACAATAGGGGCATAGTTAGATAAATTATGTATAGCCATATTACGGAACACTAAGCAATCACTACAAATATTTTCAAAGAAATTTTAATGACTTGTGCAATTGTTTTCAATAAAATTTTATGTGGAATACAGGATATAAAACTAATCTCACTCATCTCCATAATACTCTGATCCCTGAGACAGCTTTCTAATGACTCCTTATTTTCCTGGGTATGGTCACTTTGCTATTTATTTGCATGTCTTGTAATTTTTCATTAAAAACATTACAGATAATATATTTTAGCAACCCTGGCTTCTGTGTGGTTGTTTGGCTTGTTTTAAATTTTTTGTGGTTTTTCTGGCTTGTGTGCTTAGCGACTCGCCAGGAGGAATTCTATGGAGGCCATCCCCCACTCGCCTCCCCCACCCCATGTACAGCCACTGATGGCTCAGCTGTTTCTTCCTTTATAATTCTTGTTTTTATTTTTAAGCTTGGATTCCAGGGATCACCTGAGTCAACACAGCTTTGTGGTCAACCAATGACTGCTCAGAAGTTACACTTAAACACCTTAAGCCAGTAAGGCTTCTGCTCTTTGCTGAGCAATCTATGTGTGGCCTGGGGAATGCATTCAAAGTTTGAGCAGTTTCCAAGTCTGCTGCAGTTTTTATTTTCTGTGTTTACAAGGCCTCACATCCAGCCAGGGACAAGTAGCTTCATAGGGCCTTCTTAGGACTCCCCTTAGATACACATGGCCCTGTCCATGAGCACAGCTTCCTGGAGCACCAGGAGCTATCTAATTCTCAAGATCTCCTGGCCTGTCCACTGTCTATTGCTAAACCTGATCACTACTGAGACCTCAGACGAGCTGCAGTGTTAGCCACAATGACACGTGGGACTCTCCACACTCCATTCCAAAGGAAGGCAGGCCCCCTCTGATGACCCTGGTAGAATTTCCATGCCACAGAGTTCCAGGACAGGGAGTTGGGATGGAAACAGCCTCAGGCTAAAACATCAGATTCCCACCGTTCTTTCCTCAAGTTCAGTACATTTTCTCAAATAAATGCTTCTCAATTTGTTGTATGCCTTTGGTCAATTTCCAGAGTCTTTACATTTTTTTTGGACAAGTTTGTTTGCTTTTTAAAATTTATTCATTTATTTATCCTGGCCACACCACACGGCTTGGAGGATCTTAATTCCCCAACCAGGGATAGAACCCATGCCTCTGCATTGGAAGTGCAGAGTCCTAACCACTGGACCTTCAAAGAAGTCTCGAGTTTGCTCACTTTTATCATTGCTTTTTAGGTAGAGGATTTGCTGAGCTCCTTACTTGGCCATTCTGGAAGTCCTGCTCCTTAAATCACACAAGTTGTACAAATTAATTATACAAACTTATCTTACTACTGGGGGGAGAAGGTGGGACCTTCCTTGGGATGTGAAAACTCCAGGGTAATGTCATCTTGGCAAGATGTTGACTTCAAGCCTGGAATCTAACTGGTGCTGCAGGAGCAAGTCCTACTTTGTAGACCAGAGTGCCTGAATCAGTGGTCCTTTGTGATTGTTTTCTTTCAGTTACTCATTAGCCAGGCTCTTACAAGAGCAATCGTGGATCATATATATTCCATGAAAAAAAGCTCAGTGGTCAAATGTTTAATTTACACCTAGCTAAACCAAATAAAAATGAATTAACATCAGGGCTTCTCAGAGATGTTTATATTTGCTGTTTGAGATTCTCGAGAGATGAAATGTAGTGTCTCATAAGATTATTGTGACCACTGAACACTTGCCCCATCCTCTACCCAGAGCATTTCAGGAGATTAATGCTCTACAAAACACCCCTGGGTCAGAAATATTGGATATTAAGGGAAGAACTGTCTGTTAACAATTGTATAGCTGTATGCATCCACCTTTTAGACACAGGAGCAGTGCTAGTGGAAACTGAATGGAGGAAAATTCCTCAGGGAGGTCCGTTTTGGCAGACAATCAAGCTCTCTAATAAAACTGCCCCTCCTCACCAGGAGCATTTCATTGGTGACCTTCCAAGTTTCTGGGTTCTATTTTTATTAAGGAAGACTGACCCTGTGCCAGACATTATCAGATTCTTGGAAAATAAAGATAAAAAGAATCTTTCCTCAATGAGTATAGTTAAAGAAGACAGTCATAATCAAGTGTCAGAGAAGGTAGGATCTAGGTATCCATAGGGGACAGTTCAAAAAGATGACAAAGGCCATGATGCTCGGGCTGGTTCTTGAAGGCCAAGAAAGGGTTAGCCAGGAAAGGAAGATGGAAAGAGCATGTGTGAAGGCAGACAGGCTGGAGAAAACATGACATATTCAGGGAACTCCCAGCATCGTGCATAGCTGGAGAATTGGGCACAAGAGAGACTGAACAGGTCCGAAGGGCATGCTAGGGAGTCTGGATCTTCTTCCCATGGTGAAGGGAGATTATTAAATGCGGCTGAATCTCAGGACCAGATTAACCTTCTGAAAGCTCCCTCTGGCAGCAAAGTAGAAAATGGGTTGTGGAGGTAGAAGATTGGAGAGAAAGCTCCAAGAGGACAGTATGGACAGAGAGGTGAGGGCAGTGATAACAGTAGATGAACTAAGATGTTGGGGAGAAGTGGGAGAGAGGCAAGGGTAAACAATTCCAGGTTTCTGACTTGGAACGATCTCAGGCAGTGATAGAGCTACATAATAATACAGAAAATACAGGACAAGGGGCAAGTTTGCAGGGAGGGAGATAATGCATTCAGGTTTGCACTTGTTCAGTTTGAGATTCCTATAAAGCATGTAAGACATGTTCATGAGATAGTTGGAGATATTTCTCGGTTGAGAAATACAGATTTACAAGATATTAGAATAAAAGTGGTAGGTGAAGCCATAGCTGTGGGTGAAACTGGACAGGCAGTAGACTTGAGAAAAAAGCACAGACAAAAACCTTGGGGAACTATATTGTCTCCCTCTTCTGAATGTCTACAGCATCTTTCTATAGCTCAGGTAGAATTAGTCACATGCTGCGATAAACATTTAGCTCAGTGCCTATTATGTACAAAAAGTATCACGCTAGATATGAGGGTACAAAAAGGAATAAAAGACAGTCCCTTCATCCAAGGAGATTATGATCTAATTGTGGAAGGAATTATACCCAACTAGTATGCAAAATGAAATAAGAGCTATAAATGTGTTGAGTACAGAAGAGGCAATTAATTCAATGGAAGTAACACAGGTTTCAGTAGGAGAGAAGAGCATTAGAGTTGGGCTTTGCAAAATAAATGGATTTTGCAAGCAGGAAAGGGAAAAGAAGGCAAGTGATTTGAAGCTGGAAATTAACATACAAAGATCACAACAGAAAGGAGTGCAGGAAGTGATAAGAAAAGAGGCTAGAAAGGTGGCTTGAGGCCAAGATCCAGGGAATCCTGTCGTTCTCCGGAGTCCGTTTTAAAGAAGGCACATATGTGCCTAAAAATACCCAAGTGCTTGTGTTGTAGCAGATTCATTTCTGCTGGGTTCCCTAATTTCAGAAATGCCTTTAAGAACAATGAAGCATAAATGCTAAAGAAAATAAAAAAAATCACCAAACTAAAGCTTGAGGGTTTATAAATGCTATTAGCTCTCTATTTCCATTCTGCAAAACTCTGCTCATGGAACTTTAATTACTTGGCTTCATTATAAAATTTCCATTGCATGTAAGTGTAAATAATTTCACTCAAATGCTCTCATTTCAATCTGTGGCTGAAAGCATCAGTAGAAATTACATTTTTGTGGCACTTCCCTGGCAGGTTGAAGGAAAATAAAATGTATACTGTTAATCAAGTCATGAGTGACTTTGAAAGTGATAGATTATATCAAGATAGTAAATAATAAGAGATGAAGTATATTTTAAAGATTGAAAATATTTTATTTAAACTTTTCTTCATAAACACTTTTAACATTTTTTTCAATTTAAAAACAGAATGGATAGCATAAACATGTTTTATATTCACGGCATGGGAAAAATTACCTGACAGAAATGTAAAGGCTTTCAAAATAGGTATAAAAGGCAAACCTTAAATTAGTCTAAGATTTTTAAATCAGTCCTAGGATTACTTGACTACTGGCCCAAAATGTACCTAAAGGTCAAAATATTTCTTCTATAGACAAAGTATGCCCAAGAGGTATAGGGCATAAACAAGTTAGGTAGAAAATAACCTCTCTGATCACCTCACTGGAACATTCTTTCCGAAAGCAAACACCTAATCCTTACTGATATACTGATTAATAAGGTTCTTAATGTAGTTGTTCCCAAAGATGTAAAACGAAAATCCAATATTAAGGGGGAACAAAGCTGATGGCATTCTCTCAATGTTACTCATTTAATATTGAAGTTATACTGGTATACTGAAAGGATATGACTTTCATGAGTTTACCTATTCCAGTCTATGTCTATGGAATATTTGACTTTATAAACTCTTGATAAACTAATTTTTCAGGAATTTCATTTTTAAGATAAATCTCTTTTTAGAAGATACTTATTCCCAAACCAACTCTAATCTGATAGAATGTATGATCCCTAAAAATGTTCAGAGTACAAAAAAAATAAAATAAAAAATGTGTAATAGACAAAGAGGAAAAATGGCACTAGCAGTTTTACTGCCATATAGCCCTCATTTATATCTAATTTACACTATTATCTATGTTGTGTTTTACTTCACTCTAAAACTTTAAATTATGTATTCTCAAAAGAGCTAGTCTTTTCTGAGAGATAGCTTATAAACTGAAATAACAATTTATATTATAAACTGAAATGTTATGACCTACAACCACATATACATATATAAAAATAGTCCCACTGAACGTTTGACATGTTTAGATTATGCAGCTCAAATAATTTGTTATAAAATATTTTAAAGCTTAGTTTCATGTAATTAAGACACAACTCTCCATTTTTTATCACTTCTCCCCACACAAATGTGTGTGTCCTTTACTATAACTTGAGCAGGCTTCCCAGAATGAGGTGTCCAAAGGTGCTGCTTCAGAAAAGATAAGTGAAGGGCTCAGTCAATATTTCACAAATTATAGTAACACTCACACAGAGTAATGAGGACACAGAAAGCTGTCTCAAGAAATGCTAATAATTCTATTAATTAAGCCTTGCTTTTTAAAAACCAGTAGTATTTCTTCCAATACAAAACCTTCAATGTGAGAATCTTGAATTTTATGAAAAGGGTGTAGTGCAAGGATTTTCGTTAAGCAGACTAAAATAAAAACTTAGAAGGTCAAAGACATGGAAGAGAACAAATGTTTCTAATTAAGATGCAATTAATAAAGATCAGCTATTTTTGTAAAGTCTGGCATTTAAAATGTAAAATGAAAATTAACACACAAAGATCACAGCGTGTTACACTGTAGTTTTAAATCTCTTACTGAATTTAAAAAAAAACTACTTTGAGCACATACAATGTATATAAACAAAAATGGTTCCAAATGAAGCACACAAAAAATAAACTCGAAAAAAATTCTATGAAAAAATTTTCCATAGTCTAACAAAAATAAATCTTTCAGCAATTAAACCATAATTTTAAAAGGGAATGTACGTTAATCATGGATTTAAAATAACCTAAGTCAGCACTACAAATAAACAGAAGAGTTTTCTCATACATTCAGAACCCAAGCAATAACAACTATTCTTAAAGCTCAAAACTGATTACAGCTAACATCAGGTCAGACATGACTCACGTGTGAAGCTGAACCCAGAATTAGTTCAAGTTAAGATTTCACAAATTCTCCAAAACATGAACTTTCATCTTGGCCTTGTGCTTTTACAATGAAGACCAAGAATATTCAATTGTTTATTCCATCTTACTTTAACTAGGGCTACGAGTCATATCTAAGCAATTAAAGAGAACCACCATGGGAGTGTAAAAGCCTGATAGGGGTACCCTGTCTCAGTCTTTTTCAGCAAAAGACAACAATGAGGAAAATAATGAAGACATTATTGTTATTTCCTTTAAAGCAAGATAGCACACATATAAATCACTACACCAACTAATTCATGAGAAACAGAATCAAATGGCCCACCTAATTCCTAGTTTTCAAAAGTACAATGATTAAAAATGATTTTTCAGATGTATAAAAAGACTTTTACCCATATAACCATGGGAAACAAGGTATCAAATTTAATTTTTAAAAACTAAATGACAGGACCACTTAATAAAAATCTGTCTCATACACGAAGAATATTAACCTGATTTCTAAAACCAATCCCAATGTTTTGCTTTAAAAAAAAAAAAAAAACTACTTCTGTACCTGACTGTTTCTTAAACTCAAATGCCTCAAGCCGTGGAGTTTTAAAATCAGGTTTTTTCAGTTGTCTATTTTAATCACAAAAATGAAACAAATCTTCACATTTCCATGATTTCACGCTTCCATTTTATGTTCAGTGGTGGCAGCAGCAAAAAAAAAAAAAAAAAAGAAAAAGAAAGAAAGAAAGAAAAAAAAAAGTGAAACTCAAAACTTTTTACAACAGCCGTATAGAAGGCATTGCAATATTGCACCAACATCTAAGATCTGGCAAGTTTTGCCAGCGTAGTATCAGATATAGACTCTACTCAGGATAAAATGGCATCAATTTGAATGATCCACTCCCTGGTTATTCTTGCTTAATTTTGACAACTATATGTTTTTCCTTTGAGTTGAAAGGTGCGGCTAATCCTAAAACACTTTTTGAACAGTTATCTTGATCCATGATTTTGAACAGTTATTCTTGATCCATGATTCTGAACAGTTATTCTTGATCCATGATTTTGAACAGTTATTCTTGATCCACTCTGAACTTGGAGGTTACTATCCTTCATGCTAATAGCTTTCAGTAAATAAAAGCTGAGGGCTTACATCCCCAGTGCTGCTAAATATTTTGTACTAAATAAACAAGAAGATATGACCAGTTGAGATTAATTAATTAATTCTATTCCTTACCTCTAAGTCAAAACTGAGCTCAAATTTTCCACAAGTTGCTACTTTCCATTCAATAACAGATGCAGCAGCCTTATTGAATGCAAAGAATGGGAGTTGCACTTACTTTGAAGGGGCCTTTATTTAGGAGTCTGGTATTACCTAAGTTCTCTTTAAAAGTGCTTGCACGCTGCAGGGCCAGGCCTTGTCACATACCACTCCAATTCTCACTAAAAACAGGGTAACATTAAACAGACTGCAAAGAAAAACATTTTCAAAAAGAAGACATACATCGATAAGGAACACTAATGTTTTCTTTTGAAAGTAAAACATAAAATGTTAACTTTCATAAAACCATACGTTTCAGGAATATAAGGAGTTTGAATATTACTGAATCAGTATGGACTGAAGATAGGCTACTCTGATACGAAACGAGGACTCCAGTTATTATCTTTCTAAAAATGTTAATACATGAAAAGACGTTACATCTAAAATACAACACGTATGGCAAACCGTGTGTGCAAGTGCACTAGCTTAAAAATATAGAATCCTAACCACGCATAAAAGGGGATGTGCCTTATATATTCATAAGATGTAAGCAAGTATGGATATGCTTTCACTAACACAATGCAGATAAGAGAAGGCAGCTTAGAAATAGTGTTCTGAATATAAAAAAGTTAATCTTGTAGAAAATTTATACTTTTGCGTTTTCAGCAAAAAGCCATGCAAAAAGGTCAAGAGTTTTAAACTTAAATAATAAAATCAAAAAGTCTAACAGACTAAAATACACTGAAATAAATGTTCAAAAAGATTTCAGCTAGAGATAGGAACTGAAATTACATCCAGTGACACTTATCAGGTCTTCTCTTAGAAGATGCATGACTCCTACGCTGACATTTGAAAGAAATGTTTAAAGCATAACATCAACTTCCCAGATAAGTGAATTGTTCTATTAAACTGCTTCTGGAAGTAGTTTCAAGAGCTAGCGCTTACAACTGACTTATTGCATGAGTTTGAGGCCACTAAAAAGAAAAAAAAAGGATGCTAGCACAGAATGAAAACATTTTTACGATATTAGACCAATGGCTTTGATAGTAAAACTGGTGAGGTTTTTCTTATGTTTTTTAATTAACTACTTTGTCGCAAATGGATTTTGTTTGGCTTTTCTGAAGGGAGAAAGATGTCATCAGTTGCAACGTCTGACCTCATCCAGAATATATTCTGGAAAATGCAGGTTGCATACTTGTAAACCATCCAGCTTGCAGGGCATCCGCGGGTACTCATCTTCCTTCCACTTGTTTTCATCCGGATCAAAGGTGAGAATAGAATCGCTGTAATGACCGTTGTAGCAAAGGCCTCCAAGAACCATTATTTGTCTGTCCAGCACAGTCACACCATGGCCACTTCTACCAATTGGCATGGATGCCAAGATGGTCCACTGATCAGTCTCTGGGTTGTACACTTCTGTGGAAGGGCATCCCTGAGACTCAAAAGAGGCTCTCAAGATCACACAGACACCACCGAAGACATAAAGCTTGCCGTTGTATGAAATCATCTTGTGAAAGCATCTGGCATAATTCATTTTGCTCTTATTCTCCCAACAGTTGGTAACTACTTGTGTTCTCCTGGTCCGCTGTTCTATGGTCCCTTCTTTACTGGGGTCAAACACGCATACTTGCTTGGAGGTGGAAGATGAGGTGATTCCACCAGTGATAAACAACTTGTTATTAAGCACTGTCCCCTCATGTCCATATTTGTTAACTGGATAAGGATCCACAAATTCCCATTTATCATTGGTGATGTCATATCTCTCAGTTGAATAGAAAGTCTCATCTCTGGTTCTGCCTGCTACAGCGTAAATAAACTTCCCAATAACACCAACTGCGAATTCTGAACGTGGCACAGACATGTCTGCCATTCGGAGCCAAGAGTTTTGTCTTGGGTCATATCTAAACACTTTGGAAGAAGCATGGAATTCGCCATCTGGGCCCAGCTCTTCCCCGCCCAACAAGAACACGAAGTTATTGACGATAGCAAGGCAGTCCGGACGCAGAGGTACTTGTGGGCCCTCTAGTTCCCACCAGACTCTTGGTTTCTTTAAGAGAAGTATTTTACTGTTAACCATGCTATGTCCAATCATGCCTCGGAATACTGTAGTTTGGGGTTTGGCAGAGCGGATGCGGCTTGATTTCATATCCAACAGAGGCTGCTGGTGAATGTTCTGAAAGTAATTCAATGCTTGCTCAACTTCATAGCGCAGCTGTCGAGAGTATCTGTAAAATTCTGATGTCTTAACCTAAGAATACAAGTAAAAGAATTTAACACCAAAAAAAAAGAGAAGAACATCAATGGCAAAATATCAAAGCCCACTAAGATTAGCTTATGATTTTAAGCTACTTTCCTAAAACTGACTTCCTGTTAAGATCATATGCTTTCTTTTTATTTTTAACAAATCTCTCATATTTGTTTTTGTAATTTGTATTTGTAGTAATTAATGCACATTCCCAATCTTTTTCAAGTAAACAAGTTATTCTCTAGGCACAAGCTAAATTCCTCTAACAAAATGTTATTAGTCTATGTCAGGCCCTAGGCTACAAAGTGGTGGCTATAGAAGGACAAGCAGAGGTTTCACAGCAGAGGAAACCTTGGCCATGGTTTTCTTAACCATAAGGAACACTGTAAGAACAACCATGACTGAATAATCTAAGGAATTAAGTTGTTTGGTGTGAGTTTGTTTGTAGTGAGTTGGTAAAAATTTAAAGACACAAAAAAATTCTCAGTTGGTTTTAGACATAAAATTTTGGTCTAGTATCATCAACTCCTACAGTAATAGTTCAGTTGACAACAAAAGGTCAAACTTTTTCCTTTGTTTTTGGAGTTGGAACTACCTAATTATGATTGCTAAGATCTTATGACAATTTTAAGTATTATGCTAACTACTGTGGGGAGATTTTTTTTAAAAAGCAGAAAATGTGGTTCATTCACTCAAAGAACTTAGAATATATTTGGGGAAATAAAAAAAATACACATTTACCAGTTTTAAGCAAATGAGGCAATTGACAGTTAAGTATGAAGCTGTATAGCACATCTGTGAGTGCTATAGAACTTTCAAACTGGTCCAAAACATTCAGGGGATATTTTGTGAAAGAGGTAGGAAGTTGGAAACCAAGCAGAAAGAGCCTGTATCATAATGACAAGGATGAAGTAAGAGGGTTAGTATTTGGATGGTAGAATTAGACACTGTGGAGAAAAAATTGACAGAAGTTCGTGGCTGATTTGAAGTAGAGATAAGATGAAGAAACAGAACTCAAATGTGATTTGAGGATTTAGAAGTAGGTGATAGGGAGAGTGGTACTGATAAGGGAAACAAGGAAGCTGGTTTGGGAGAGGCATTCAACTTCACTGGTGATGAATGTGAATTGCTAGTAGGATGCTGAGGTGGAAATGTCTAGGAGCCTGTTGGAAATCTGGGATGACAGCTTGGGAGAGAGTCAAAACCAGGCATATGTATTTATGAACTTGCTTTCCCTCTTTGCATCTCTCCTTTCTCTTCCCTTCTATCTTTCTCATTCACTTCCCACCATAGTCCAAAAAAACATATCTGAAACAGAAAGCACTACAGATGTTTACTTGAGTATTTTGATAACTGTATTTCAATATAGTTGGCTTCCTTTGTAATCCTAAGCATTTTATTTTATGTACTTAAAATCACTATTCTGAGGGGGAAGGGTCCTTCCATGGGTCTTGCCAGACTAGTCCAGGGGTAAATGGCACAAAAAAGATCGAGAACTCCATGTCTTTGTAAAACAGAGAAAACTAACATTACTGCAGAAACAGGTGCTTTATGTGTGCATATCAAGTTAAATTATTCCTCCTCTGAGAGAGTGGTAACCATTCTCCTAGTGAGAAAACTGATGCTTAGAATGTTAAGTGACTTGCCCAAATTATTTACATGACTAAAACTAGTAGAGCTGGGAGCTGAACCTTCAACCAGGACAGTCTTATTCCAAGGCTCAATTTCTAGTATATTATAACACTGCTTCCATCACTCTTTAGAAAACTCTTTAAATGACACACTTATTAATAAAAAAAAAACCACATAACATGTTTCAATGAATTAGTCTAATGGTCCCTCTAAGAGAAAAGATAGTAAATAATAATGGTAAACAATTTCAGTAAAGAGAAAAATGATTAAGATCTGAGGTCTTATCCTCTACTACTTTTACTTCACATATAAACAGTTAAAACAGACTATTTGTTACCATGGAGTGATCACAATATATTTTCTAAAAGGCAATAGTACTCTGGTATCCCAATTAAATAAAATTTTGTATATGTTTGCTTGTGTTAATAGTGATTATTTCTGGTATTCCAGATTTTTGCATTCTTTTTCATGAGTCACATTTACAGAATCTCGTCAAACAATGGGTCTCCTAAAACCATCATAAATGTCTGAAAGAGACATCTTTTCAAATCTTCATTTTCCATTCGTTTCTTCTATGAACTAATAGTGTGCCTCACCTATTTTTCTCATCTTTTTCTTATTGATTTCTAAGAGCTAAAAGGTAATATCCTGGAAATCAACAAGAAACATAAATCTCAAATTAAATATTTAAGTGCCTACTGTGCACAACCAGCAGACTGACAGTTACACAAGTTTTAAAGTAATAGAATCAGCATAGTAATTAAGAACCGCATCAAACAGCCCAGTACAGTGATTAAGAATTTGACTTAGGAAATTTCTGACTTTCCCGCTCACAAGCTGTGTGATTTTGGCCAAGTGACTCAACATTCTTAAGCCTATTTCCTCATCTGTATTATTGGGACAACAATATCACCTAAACCTCATAACCCTAAGGTAGGAGATGGGCAGGATAATGCTATGTGGAAAGTACTTAGTATGGTGCCTGTCATGTGGCTGTGTAGAAAACATTACAGCTGCTATTAGCTATTATTACTGACCAGGGGACATCTGTTTAAGTATCACTTAGTTTACATTAGTGCATCTGATGATGTGCTTTTGGTTTGTGTAAAAATTCAGTCTTCCAGAAACTGGACGAGAAATTAGAAAAACTGATACTTTGTACCTAATCTTCACCAGGAAAGCATGACTGGTGACATGCAAGTAGGAGGAAGCTTTAATGGAAGCAGCCGTATTGTCTGGAGATCAAGAAAGAAAAGGAAGGGGAATGCTGCCCATATTGCATAGTCAGATTTCAAGATTTTCAAAGGAAAATTAGGATCAATTCCAAGATCAGAAACTGTGTAAGGAAGCTTGAGAAAGCTTGGAGGCTCTCAAAAGTATAATGCTGACTGCATAACTGCAAAACACACTGATGAGGGGAAGAAAAGGGGAAAGCATCTAAAAAATCTGATGTGCTGCACAGAGAGCTTTCTGGAATTCAGATGTTAAAAAACCATTTACAACAGATGGTAAAAAAAAAAAAAACAGGCATATAAACCAAGTATTATGAACAATGAAATGGAGCTTTAAGAATATTGTGAACAAAGCTAAAGCCTAAAGATGAATTGTGACTTTACAAAGTGCCAGATTGTGAATAAATGGCATTTTAGAGGCTAAAGTAAAAAAAAAAAAGAGAGAGAGAGAGAAAAAAGTGAATTCCTCCCTGGGTGACATAGTTAATGTAATATTTACAAAGATAAACAGCCTCCTATCTTATTTCCATTCTCGGCTAAGAATATTATTTTCAATCTGAAGATCAAACATAATGACTAAGAAGAAACTTAAATCCAAGATGGCTGAGAAAAAAAGAAAAACCAGCTAGATATTCTCACTGAGTTCAAGTCATTTGATCTCGCAAGTCACGTCCTGGGATCCTAGGAGGCTTTGCAGATAAGGCTGCTTAATTGCTTTCTGTAATCTGTGTGGAATCATGAAAAATAGGAGAGGACTAGAAACTAGACAGATCTCCGAACTACAGACCAGTTAGCTAGAGGCTGATCCTGAACTGTGAAAAACTATTAGCACTTGCATCTAAGAAAGCACTACAAACCAGGAGGCAACACAGACTCACCAAGTAATGCCAAGACTGACCATTTCTAGTTTAATTTTTGATGCTGTAACAACACTGATAGAGAATGAGAGAACTTATGACTTTGGCAAAGTAATCAACAAAGCCTAATCATAAAGAAAACAGAAACACTAGGGACCCATGAAACACCTGAAGTTCCAACAATGACTGTGTTAATGCATTTAGGGTGGGAGGTGGGAAGTCCATAGCTTTTATCAAATGCTCCAGGGATCCACAAACTTCAAACGTAAAGCTTTTAACTCACTCTACCCTCACTACGAACCAAAAATGTGATATGAGTCTTCAGAACTAATAAAATTGTGGACCAAATTAAAAGAACAGACAACCCTACCCTATCTGCTCAGGTGAAACCACAACTAAGACAGTGCTCAATTCCACCGCTTTACTTTATTTATTTATTTTTTACCACTGTACTTTAGATGACAAAGTGGATCATGTCCAGAAGACAGCAAAGGGATCCAAATCATAGGAAGAGTGGTCAGACTAGGAATGTTTCAATTCAAGAGAAGATGCAGGAGAAAAATGGCACCTGTTTTCAAGACCAGTAAGTAGACGCTAAAAGAAAGATTTTAGGCCAAAATAAGGAAAAGCTTTGTAATCAGGACTGACAACTTAATGGATGTTCACTGCATTATTATTTGTAAGAGCACAAAAACTGGGCATAACTCACATATCAATATGAAACTGATTAAACAAACTCTGGTATATAACATATGCAATCGAAAAGAATGAGATTAATCCATATGCAGTAACACAGACATTTAAAATGTCAAATGACAAAACCTGCAGAGCTGTATACATAATCTCAAAAAATAAAAATGGACTCACAGTCAGTAATCTATGCAGGAGGAAAATGTACTTAATATGTGTACAACATATACTTACTAATGAGCTCGTGAGGGACTTTGCTTTTCACAGGGGCTCTAGTAAAAAGGGTACAGGTGCATGTTCCCAAAGTCAAGAGCAGTACCTCTGAGTCTAACCATACTGCCACTGAAGGAACTTCAGGTGTGACCACCTATCCAGTGTCTCATGAGGACTAGGCACCATGGCCTGTAATGGCATTCCACCTTCCAACCCCAGGTTCTTGCAGATCACATCGAACGGGACCAGCTTAATGGATTCCTACAGTCTATTTCTGAGTCTTTCTTTGTTTATACCCACTCTTCTGGCCCCTTTGTTCTTTCCCTATTCATTCTATTGTGCTCCTTTGATATCTGGGTTCCAATGGGTTTACAAGCAC